AAATCGGAGTATTTTCTTTCCCACATTTATACCAATTTAATAATATTTCAAATGAAAAATCATTATCAGTGCTTGGTAGTTTTTTTGGGTACTCTTTATGAATTTGTACAACGATTTTGGGTTGTTGTGCCCAAACGCAATATGGCAACGGGTACGCAAAAGTACCGCTACGTATATGGGCAAATCTATAAAACAGGTAACCTTGGTGTTATTTAGCTTTATTTTCACTGTTGGAAACTATATCAAGCTGGTTCCTTTTGGATATAATTCATTGACTTATACTTGAAGCCTCAAAAAAAATTTGGAGCAATTTGCTGCATAACTTTTGAATTATAGGTGTTTAAATTAAAAAAAAAAATAATAATGAAAACAAGTGAATTTTTTATGTAATTTTTAGAGGGGCAAAATTAATTATGTCAAAACTTTTGAAGCACACCATATTCTGATTTGAAATTTAATGGGCATTTAGCACTTATGTGTATACTTCATGTGTAGCAGGTAAGAAAAGTGTGCATTAAAAAATAACGAAATGGCAAGTAACTCTAAGTCTGTAACTCCACATTTCACAATTTTCAAAATTTTCGGTCTATCGGGTACAGTTTTTGAAGCATTTAATTTTAAGAACTTTTTAAGTACAATGTATTGTATTCTACAAACAATTATGAATAAGTTGACACCTTGGCAAGAGCTGTGCTTTCAGAATAAACCAACTTTTAAAGATAAAATATTCTGCGATCTAGAGCGTAATTTTTATTTCAAAAATATCTTAATTGAAGGCACATTTGGAAAATACATCGAAACGATCTAAATATTTTTATAACTACTAGTCCTTATAACGTTGCATATACCTGCAAAATGCTTCGAAAAAATGTTCTCTAGAAGTGTGTAAAAACCCCGATTTAGTACTTTTAATTATGCTCCTTCTTGTAGTCAGAATATTTCGAGCGTGGTATCAAACCAAATTTTTTTCGACAAATGTTCTGATAGTTGCTCTTACTTAATTGGAGCCTTTTAAGTTCAATGGCGTCCCCATTTGTGCGCGATTGTCTCCACTTTTGGAGATAGTGGTACTTGAAACTTTGCTTAAATTTTTTACTATTTTATAAAAAAAAACCCTCAGTTCTGAAGATATTTTACTAAAATTTTGCACACGCTTGTATTTTAACATTGGCTTCACTATCTCAAGAAGCTCGGAGAGATAACCGTTTAACCGTGCAGTGTGAGCTGTCGTCGAAAGAGATTTCGACTCTGTCGTCACACCGCGTCGGATTGGACAGTGACCTCACAGCTGACCAAAGCTTGCTCACACCAGAGGCGAAGTTACAGGACTTCAGATGCTCTTCCCAATTGGCATAGCTTTGGTGATCCGCGGAAGACAAGTCCGCAGGTTTATCAATCGAGATGATTATGGGCAGGTGGTCTGATGCCAAAGTCGGCATAGGTCGCCACGTTATGCTATTTACTGGGCCAGCACTTACGATTGGTATGTAAGGAGAGCTACTGCAGCTGCCCTTAATTCTGGTGGGTGCGTTCATTGTGCAGAATACCGCATCGTTTATCTGCTCAGCCAGGTGTGTTCCCCTAGGATGATGCGACAGGATTGAATGCCAAAGATCGTGGAGCGCATTAAAGTCACCAACTATTATACGGATTCTAGGATGGTATCCCTTTAGTCGACGTCTGCTTCGATAAAACGATACTGCGCGATGTGTTGCGTGATGAACGTTAGGCCACTACCATTATCACGCTCGCGATCTCGATGGTGAACGTTGTATCCGGCGCAATTCAACAGTGTTTAATTGCCATGCATGAGTTTTTGTCGGCGACGTGTTGGTAGTGGTGCGGTTGCGTCTGTGTTGTCTGTGTTGTTTTGGGGTGCGGTATTGTTTATGTTGAGCTGCTCAGGCGGACTCTGGTGTGCCGCGGAGGACGCTCCGTATGAGCAGCAAGGGGCCAAGTATGACATGGTCTATTGCCTGTGAGTCGTAAAGCCTCAGCAAACTCCGAGGTGGCTCCACCCATTACAAGAGTTGCACCTGACGGAGGTGGAGTTGTGGTGTATTCGTCTCTGGCACGCGCAGCAAGTTTAGGTTTCTGGTCCAGGGTTTGACTCGATGACAGCTCTGAGCAGAAGTATGCGAAGCATATGTAGCCTTATGGACGTAGAACTTTTGAAGGATTTCGCCGAAGTAAACGGGGTTAGATCGCCGAAACAACAGCCCTTGGTCGGGTAAAGACCGAGTCATTCCGGTACGTAGAACCGGCTGTCGTGGGAACGGTGGTGGAGGAGTAATTGTATGGGCTGCAGATGTCGGTGAGCGGGAATTCATTGCCGGCGTTATGGAAAAGAAATATTATATAGAAATCCTGAAGAGAAATGTCAAAAAAAGTGCTGAAAACTGAAATTGCCAGAGTCATTCATATTTCAACATGACAGTGACCCTAGTCATGATGTGCGTATGGAGCTTGCGCACCACATTAAACATACATTACGGCATCCGCCTCAATCGCCTGATCTATCCAATAGAACATTTGAAGGCGACACTGTCGGAAAAAAAATTATACTCTTTTCATATATACTTAGAGAACAGTACGTTATGCCATTGAAAAAAAAGACTCTGAACCATATCCCTCTTTAAGAACTTTAATAAACATTAGTTAAGGGATCGTGAGCCATAATTTAATGAACGTTTTTGAGTGCGACTGTTAGTAACATAGGCACCGAATTGAGCAATGAAAACCTTATGATTTTAATTCTATATACCCAAGGCTGTTTTCGTACAACGGAAACGTATTTTGTTCTCTCTATGCTATATCTCTTTTTCTTGTTGCAAATTATATATTCTTCTTGAGAGTACAATAAAAAATTTTGTTGGTTGATGTTAAAAAGAGACAAATTTTAGAGTAACCCCAAAGTAAAAGAGTGTTTGCAATACCAGCTAGGAGTTGAGATTGACTTTTTAATGTTTTTCTATTCACATATTAAACCGCTTGGATTTATATTTTGATTGTAGTCCAAGTTCGAAGATTTTATTTATCATGTAAAATGCAAAACTTCATTCCAATGTGATATTGCAAACAAAAGAACAAGTAGAAAAAGCACACTTTGTAAATACTCTCTTTGAATGTCTTATTTTATATTCTACGTGGGCAACTTTTTCCCTAAAACCAGAAGTTTTTTCGAATTCATGCCAACAATTCGATTGCTCAAACCAATTTGGACTCGTGTAAATGAACTTTAATTTTTATCTAATGCATGCTAAGATCATTCTAAAAATATGTCCACATATTTATATTTTCGAATTGAAAATTTCACATTTTCTAGTTTTTATATCTTATAGAATCGCCTAAAATTTTAAAATATTAGACGTAACGGCGCGCAGTGCTTGCCCTTATGATATATACATAATACGTACACAATGAGGTTGTTCACACTTGCATGGTTATCAGGTTATCTCGTTAAAAATTATTATTATGTAGTGTATTTTATTGTTGTAAACCGAATAAAAACAAGTAAGAGCAGCGCTGTCTTCGGCTATGCCGAAGGCTTCATACCTTTCATGAACATCTGCAAATTTTACTTTGACAGATTACTGCTTTTGAATACATCTGCATACATCGATAGAGGAGTTACATACTTATATACAAAATCGCATCTAAACAATCAGAGGTATGGAAGATATACTTTATATGACACCAATCTAAGTGATTTTCACCGCTATGTGATCGGTATGTAGACCGGTAACACAATTTATTGGGTTTAGTTTCGTACATAAAGGAGATATATGGCAAAACCTGGTATCTTAACAATCAGTGCTATAGGAGATAAAGCTTATACAGCATAGATTTTGACGATTTTCTCAGTAGACTTTGTATTATTATTTATAAAATATCTTACGAAATTTATCGGTTTTAGCTGTTCAAATAATGGAGTTTTACAGTAAAATCCCATATCTGAACAATCTGATGTATGGAAGATATATGTTGTAGTCATCCGATCCTTGTTATTTTCACTGTAAGTATTCTGTTAATAATGAGTGAAAATGGTGCGAAATTTCATGTTCCTAGCTGCATAAATGGAGGAGTTATGATAAAAGACCTCATATCTGAACAATCAGTTGTATGGGGGCTGCAGGTTATAGTGACCCGATCTTTGTTGTTTTCGCAGTAAGTCTTCTGTTGATACTGTGTGAAAACAGCGCGAAATTTCATGGTCCTAGCTACATAAATGGATGAATTATAAAGAGAAATCTCATATCTGAACAATCAGTTGTATGGGAGCTATAGGTTATAGTTACCCGATCCTTTTAATTTTCACTGTAAGATTTCTGTTGATAATTATTGAAAACAGGGCGGAATTTCATGTTCCTAGCTATATAAATGGAGGAGTTATAACGCAAAATTTTATATCTGAACAATCAGTTGTATGGGAGCTATAGGTTATAGTGACCCGATCTTTGTAATTTTCACTGTAAGTATTCTGTTGATAATGGGTGCAAGTATTGCAAAATTTCATGTTCGTAGCTGCATAAATGGAGAAGTTATAATAATAATAATCTCATATCTGAACAATCAGTTGTATGGGAGCTATATGTTATAGTGGTCCGATTCTTCCGGTTCCGACAAATGATTAATACATTATAAAAATACTCCCACCTACCAAATTTGATCCGGATATCTCGAAAACTGAGAGACTAGATTGCATACAAACAGACAGACAGACGGACAGACGGACATGGCTAAATCAACTCAGCTCGACGTTCTGATCATATAAGTATACATTTTCATGGGTCTATCTCTTTTTGTTCTGGTACTTACAAACATCGGACCAAAGTTATAATACCATTTCATGCTCATGAAAGGTATAAATATAACCACATAACCTGATAACTAGGCAAGTGTTAACAACCTCAATGTAAGTACATTTTTTTAAATTCTGTATCTATAAACAGAATGAATTTTATGGAAGATAACTTTTCTACATAATAAATAAAAATTACCTGGCAGGGTTACATTAGGTTTTCCTTGTGGACGGGGCATAAATTGTTCTGGATCCTTTCCTTCCTTTAGCATCCGAAGGTGTGGGGGAGTATAAGCTTTATTACTGGCCTCTGGTAAACTCGATTTTATCCCTTCGGGCTTAACTTTTGTTATTATTGGTTCCTCAAACGTGCCGTCAGCATATTTCTGCCATTCGATCCCTAAAAGTTCTTGTCCCTGAGGCCATATTGTTTCGTGCACGAGGGCACCAGAGTAATGGTACACTTTAAACCTAAAAAACAGATACAAATGATTAAATGTATGAACTACTTCTATATTACTAGCATACATAATAATAATAATATATTGGCGCTTACACAATCCAGGTGCTGATGAGTGAAAGCGCGCACTGCTTACCACTACACCACAGCGGTAGTGCCATACCATACATAGCATTGTGAAATAATACGTATGTATATACATATGTTGTTCATTTGAATAATATTATATAAAAATAAATATGTACAGCGGCGAAATGCCTTGCGCCCGGGTGAGTAGTTCTGCTGGAGGCAAGAGCATACAGGTACAGCAAATAGGTTGCCGATGTAATTGGGAAGGTTAACAGGTTTCGTTAAAAATACTTTGGTGCATTGTCGAGCACAAATAATTTTTCACCCTACACAAAACATAAAAGCTCCTCCCGTTACAGTATAACGACCCTGAACTTGTTACAAGTAATCTAATCTAAGCGTACATATTCAGGAACAAGTCCCACACACAATTCGTTTTCACTCAAAAATTGCACAACATATTTCACAGACCTGGATTTTGCTCTGTGGGCCTCATTATGCACAGAGCTATATCTTTATCGCTATTGAGTCTGCACTCGTCAAAATCACCATTATAAAACGAGACGATTTTCTTCAAATGTACTGTCGATTCAGTATCAAATCTTCTAGTCCGGGAGCAAATAACATGATCAAACATTTCATAATATATTTTCCGAAAATACTATTCAGGTGTGGTTAATACAGGACTTTCAATTGGACTTTTTTTTCCTCTAAAAATTTTTCAGGTGGGTAATTACCCACCTTTAAAAATTTCAGGTGGGTAGTACTACCCACCATACCCACGTAATCCGCCGCCACTGCATATGTATGCATGTATTTGTAAACCAATATATAGAACCCTACCAGATCGTATACGTTATTTGCCAGGAAATGATACCCTGTAAACTAGGTTAAGTTTCCATGAACTTCTTAAAAATAATGTGAAAATTCTATCACATACGACCTAAGTAGACTTTAGGTGCATCGTTCGAGTTAACGATTACTTCTCATTGCTCTGAGTATAAGCGTGTTACTTTGTATACTCACTTTAACATGGGATATCCTAGGAGGGTTAGTTACCCCTTTAAACTCCCAAACGAGCAATGAGAGTGTACAAACTAGGGTGTTCGATTATTTGCCTTTTTTCGAAAGCCGGTTTTCGAGTTATTCGAAAAA